CTTCATATTAGTGACAAACTTTGGTGTTTTTTATGAGTTACTTTCATTTTTGCTTCTACTTTTCATTTAAAAAAGGTTTTCATTCTCTGCAGGTTTCTAAGGTTCTTCTTCTACATATTAAAAAAGTTGTTATATGAGTGGTGCTCTACTGCTACTAGTGGTGAGAAAGTGTATTGCACCTTATTCAAAATCAATGCGGCCCTCTGCGGCCCAAAGTTAAAAACTTGTTTTTTTGAGGCCCTCAAGGTGGCGCTCCCATGGGTTAAGAATCTCTGATTTATACAGTACAGAACTGACCACGAACCGAGTCCTATTTGGGTTTGTGATACTGACCCACCACTCCTGGTCCTCCTCCGCCTCCACCACGATCACTTCCCCCTCGCTGAACGTCAGCTCGTCGGGATTATCAGCCGAACAGTTGTAGATGGCCTTCACCCTCTTAGGCCGCTGCTTCTGCAAACACAGGTCAGGACAAACTGTTACACAGAGAAACTCCTCCACAGCTGGAGCAGAGCCGGGCCTGGTGGACTCACAGAGAAGGCAGTTCTGGGTTTAGGTGATGGAGGAGCTGGACTGTGGAGGGGCTGGCCCTGAAGACCTGAAAAAATAAACACAATTTTACATCAAGTGAAAAAGAAAACAACTTCAGCAGGAAAAATAAAAGATTTTTATGGTTTTACCTGGTTTGTTGGCAGACCCGGTCCGAACTGGAGGTCTAAATGGAGGAATATTCACTGCTCTGAAATCAAACCAAAAACCCATTTTGGCTGTTAAAACACTAACTGGACTGTAATGACCAGCGTAGGACTCTGAAGGACTAGTCTAGTACTGAACGAGGCCCAGTTCAGCTCACTTTATCACCTACCTGCTGGGAGATTTAGGGCCAGCGGGTCCTGATGGAGGTCCTGCTGGTTGTGGAGGTCCTGGTGGTTGTGGAGGTCCTGGTGGTTGCGAAGGACCTGGTGGTTGTGGAGGTCCTGGTGGCTGTGAAGGACCTGGTGGTTGTGAAGGACCTGGTGGTTGTGAAGGACCTGGTGGTTGTGGAGGTCTTAGTGGTCTGCTGGTCTGTTGGCTCACTGCAGGCGGGGGAACGGGTAGAGGTTTAAAGTGGACCGGCGATAAAACTGTAGGCGGAGCAGCAGGGACTGAGACCGGCAGGGGGGGCAGGGGGGTGTTCTTGGCCGAACCGGTCTTGGTCTCCAACGTGCCGGACTTCTTGTTGGCTGGAGGTGGAGGAGGAGGAGGGGGCGAAGGAGGAGGAATGGCTGGGAGGACTGGGAGAAGAGCAGAAAATCAGTCAGGATTCCACAAAGACTAGAAGGGGGCGGAGCCAAAAACCAAGTAGGCTCACCATACATGGAGGTGTTCCTCTCAGGGTTCTGAGGGTCCGACGAGGACCGCTGTCTTCCTAGTGACTCCATGGCTGATGTTTTATTGGGACCTGATCCAGAACCGAAAAAGAACCACAAGCTAAAAACTGAGCTGCTAAAGCTAACAGAAGCAAAACTAAAAGCTAAGATGGTACCTAAATGTAACAAAACATTACTTAAATGCTAAAAGCAGCAAAACTCTATCCAAAAGTAGCATAACCTCAAGTGAAATTAGCCAAAAGCACGCTAAAAGTAGCAAAAGCTAGCTAAAAGCTTATGTAGCAAAAGATTAGCTAAAATATCAAAAAGTTAGCTATAAAAGGTAATAGTACCAATAAGCTATAAAAATGGCTAAATGGAAGCTAAAAGTGAACAGTATCAAAAAGTTGAAAGTAACAAAACAGTAGCTAAAAGCTAAAGTAGCAAGCAAAAAATCAGCTAAAATATCAAAAAGTTAGCTATTAAGATATTACTAGCAAAGGACATGAAAAAAGTGCTAAAATGGAAGCTAAAGGCTAACCGCATCAAAAGGCTTAAAGTACCCAAAACAATGTAGCAAAAGATTAGCTGAATATCAAAAAGTTAGCTATAAAGGTATTAATAGCAAAGGGCTTGAAAAAAGTACTAAAATGGAGCTAAAGGCTAACAGTGTCAAATAGCTAAAAGTAAAAAGAACAGTAGCTAAAAGCTAAAAGAAGCTTAAGCGGAACAGCCAGCAGCTGAAGAAGATTTCAAAGAAAACAAAGTTTTTGAAGAAACTGAAGAGAGAACACGTTTCTATGGGGAAAATATTTGTAAAAAAATGTAAATATTAAAAAAACTTAAACAACAAAGCAGCTGTTTCCTGAACACTGTTTTAAACTCTAAACAGCTAAAACAACTCTGCAGACGTAGAATGCCCAAATATCCTGAAAAATAAAAATATTTGCGTGAATGCTGACTCAGCAGACTCTGTCTGACCTCTGCTGGGACCTCTGGGGGGCAGAGGGGGTGTCGGCCCCGGCGGAGGCAGGTTCAGGTCCATCATCGTGCCGTACGTCTCGTTGCTGATCATGCTGCTCGGGATGGGAGGTCTCTGCTTGTCCCGTACCACCAAGACAGCATCGCGGGCCAGCGCCGCCAGATTGGTCTGCATGGGGCCGCTGCCGGGCACGAAGCAGCTGACCGGACGTTCCTCGCGCCGGTTTGGGATGGGCTGCGGGACGAGGACAGAACACACCGTCAACAACCCAGAACCTGAACACGAGACGCCGCTTTCATCAGAGGAAACGGGCCGACCTTGTCCTCCATCTCGTCCTCGCTCTCATCCAGGTCCTCGTTTTGGAGTCGCCACTCATACTCCACGTGGACGTGGACATTGAACTTTCCCGTCTGAGCCTGGGTCAGCTGGAAGACACAAACAGGACGTTTGGAACAAAAATTATTTTTGAATGAACAGAAAACTTTTTTTACTTTGCAGAAAAAAACCCGTGCAGGAAGAAGCTCGTTGAAGTTCACAGGAAATCGGAATGTTTTTCCAACATAAGAAAATGATAAAGGTAAATCTGTTGGAGAAATATGTATGAGTATAAGGCACGAATTGTTACTCAAGAAGGAATTAAACCTTTGTTATTTTTCTTTATTTTTTTTTGCATGTTGTAAATTGAGGATTTTTTTGGTTGAATTTATTTATTTGAGAAAAAGGGGCAGAAATCATCAGATTTTTTTCTTCTGCTACCTTTCATTTAATTAGATATTTTTTGTATGTTGAATTTATGTTGTTTTGTATTAAATGAATAAACTTTATAAAAAAACTTGTTGACAAAAAAAACCAAAAAAACAAACAAAAGTGGCCCCAGCACTGACCCCTGAGGAACCCCATTGCGTATATGGAGAGAAGAGGAAGTTAACCCCCTACTTGAACAAGCTAAGATCTATTGGTCAGATGGTTGTCAAACCAACGAAGAGTTTGTTCAGACAAGCAAGCAATGTGAAGCCTCTATAATAAAACATGATTAACTGCGTCAAATGCTTTAAAACAGGAGTGGGCAATCCTGGTCCTCGAGGGCCGCAGCCCAACAGGTTTTATGTTTTTCCCTGCTCCAACACACCTGATTCAGAC